CACTGAAGAATCATTTTAATTGGGACTCTCGTTTTTTTTATCTTTAGCGCTTATCTCCGCACTTCTCCATATTCAAATTTGTTTAGAAGTTGTCAACTTAAAATAATCTTTATGTAAGAGATTTTTATCTTAAACTGATAGACCATAGATTGATCGCATCACCGAAATATCTTTCAATATTTAATATTTTATTACTTCTTCGAGACAATACTACGTCTTCATAAAGTCGGCAAAGGAAGAATAGCAATGGATAAAACAGAGGCATTATTTAATATATAAAAAAAAAGGCGTGAGATAAGACGATCCTGCTTCATTCCTAATATTTAGCACCGTATCAGATATGAAAGTTTTAAAAAATCTAAGCTACGAAAATAAAGGAACTTATGTAGTAAGTGCAGAAAGATTCAATAAACTAAATGTAACCAATATTAATTTCAGTCTTAGTTAAAGAACTAAAGAAGATTGTGGAACTTTATAGTCAGAGCAAAAATGTAGGACTAGAAATAAATTTCTCGAAATCTAAATTTCTCACCGACGGGAACCCAGAAAATATTGTTATACAAGGAAACAAGATAAATTGGATAGAAGATTCTATACACCTTGGGCAGCTAATCTCCTTTAATAAAAAGAACGAGAAGGAAATAGATAGATACATAATTCGATTTAAAGATGCTCAAAGAAAAATGGAGGGAGTATAATGAATATGAAATTGAGTGCTAGAATAAAAAGTGAGAATATAAGGCACAGAACTGAAGTTAAAAGAATATCAAATAAGTGATTTTAAAACTAAAATGGTAATGGTCTGGGCGAGGGTGGGCCATCGATGGACGATATTATGGAAATATCAATATTTTCTTTCTGATATTCGATATTATGCACTGTCGATATCGTCCCTTCGATGATTTAATTTAAAACTATCGTTTTCAAAAAGCGCTAGGAATTATATATGAATCTGATCGTTATAAAAAGATTTATACTGATCTTGCCTGTTTCATATACAGGTTGTTTCAGGGTTAGGTGACCAAACTGCAAAAATGAACTAATGACCTCAAAGCAAGAAAAAAATTTTCTCTGAACGTATGTCCGCAACCGCTTTGTTTATGAGATATTCACACCTAATGATTTTCGTTGTTATGAATTATTTACGTTATATGAAATAAATAAAACTTGCATAGACTTTTTGTTTAATGTCACCCCCAAACGAAAAAATCCAGTGGTGTCAGGTCTGGAGAGCGTGCAGGCCAAGCCACTGGTCCTGCACGGCTAATCCATTGGATATGGGATATGATTGGGCGGGTCCGGTCAATGACCTTAATTCCTTACGAAGAAGGATAATTGAATCTTGTGAAACAATAACACATATCCAGTGACGTTCTGACACTGCTGAAGAATGATGTCTTAATGCTCAAGGAAATCACTCTGAACAACATTTAATATGAATGTTAATGTTTACATTTAATTAATAAAGTAGTTAGAATAAATAAATAGGTTTTATTTATTTCATATAAAGTAAATAGTTCATAATAACACAAAACTTTAGGGGTGAATATCTCCTAAAAAATGCGTTTGCGGACATACCTTCAGAGGAAATATTTTTGTTTTGAGGTCCTTAGTTCATTTTTTGCAGTTTGGTCAGTTTACCCTGAAACACCCTGTAGAATATAGTGCCCAGTATAGGAAAATATAGATAATTCGATTATTTCGACTATCGATGGCTATCTTTAAGTAGAGTTGAATTGCTCGCGTGGGAGACCCTTCTCACTCAGTAAACTCAATTTGCCCAAATTTGTTAGTTGGAATCTTCTCATTCCATGACCACCAATTGTCAAAAAAAATCTATATTGGATGCAAATAAATTAGCGTTTCGCTGAATCCGATCTATGGGTGAATGGAAGGTATAATTGGTTGAATGTAAATTGTAAATTTCTGGAAAAAAGCTAAGTATGACGAAGATGGAACACGAGGAAATTGCCAGAAGACACCAAGGAGGAATACCTTGCGTTTCCCGGGAAAGGCTATCCGAGGGGCGTTTGAGATGCGACTTATAAAACGTGTAAAAGGAAAGGGTTTGTCCAAGATCGGGATACTTGTTACAGATTTCGCAAGTGGTAACCTCACACTGCATAGCGGTATTCGTGAAAAAACGACTATGATGATTTTCTAATTAACATTGGAGCGTAAGGGAAAAACTCATTAATTTCAACTTAGTGCCACATGAGTTCGTCCTCGGGCTGCTAAATAATTATGAGCGTGCTATAGATTATTTTTTAATAGGCTATTATAAAAAAATATGTTAGCATGTAAAGGGGCTAGTTCAATGAAAATTGTATATGCTGTTTTCATCTCACACTTCATATGGAGATTTTTTTTTAATTAGCAAGTAAACACAATACTTAATTGATATTTCTATAAACAGCCTCATGTCAAGTAATAAATTCATATTTTGCTTGTTTTATATAATTAATTTTGTTTCTTTATTAGTAAAAGTATACGAAAAATGTATTCAAATATTCTTTAAAAAAAAACATTAGTATTCTAATCAATCATTCCAACGTTATTTTAAAATTTTTGGACTCCGGGGTTTTAGAAGAGAATTTTTATCTTCAGTGGCAAAAGGTGTAGACACATTTCCAAGTGTATGAGAGAGGATTTCTAATGGTCACTTGACCAAGTAAGAAGGAGGCTTTAAATGAAGAGAGAACCCTTAGAGAAGGAACGCAAACAAAATGGGATGTGGCCAAGATGTGTACTGACATACATCAACTTCCCCACGATAGTACCAAACCACTGGTTTATATTAAAAAAATATTAAAAAATATAGAAATAATTAAGAACTAATTAAATAAAAAAAATATAATAAAATAAAATATAAATAAACGAATAGATAAATGAAAATGAAAAAACTTAATTAACTCATTATTATATAAAATACAAAATTAATAAGTAGTAATTAAGAAAGATTAATGGAAAAATTAAAATAATATATGAAATTCACAGATAAATATCAACAAGACCAGTAAATAATTTAATTAATTAAAAAAAATATGTTTTATACAAATAAAAAAAAAACGATATATAAGTAAATGATAAGTCATATAAAAAAAAAAGTCATCAAAAAAATAAAAATTATTTAAAAATAGAAGTAATCTAAAATCTAGAACAACATAATTGTATATTAATTAAAATGACGATATTCTATATATTTGTGTAGGTTATTGAATTGAAATATATGAGTAGTAAAAAAAAAAAGTGATGAACTATTGACTTGCTATAATGAGTTCTTTTTATTTTATATATTTTAGTATCCTTAAAACCTTTACAGAACGGTATTGATTATCCGAACATGCAGATTCCATGGCCTTAATGTTCGGATTATCAAATATTGAATTTAAGATGATGGAAAAAATGCACTAGGAAAACGAAAATATATTATCACTTAAATATAAACATTTTGCAAACAAAACAATTGGTAGTATAATGCGCGCTAAATTTCTGATTTTGTTGTTAAGAAAACGGCTGATCCGTCAAATTCATTAAAAGTAACAGACTTTGAGAGCCGATGTTTCATCTTTTCATCCAGTCCAAGCAAGTATGAAATGCCTTCATGGCGTTTCTATGAGTTATCTATAATGAAAAATAAAATGAGTCTAAACAATAAAAACTTATATAAAAACGTATTCAATGCCTGATTCTGAAATTATCTAGCCAACCTTCACTAGCGTTTAAATCTGCTTTCTCATTCTTCTTAAAAGAAATATTAAAAAAAATTTAAATTTTCAGTTAACATATTCCCGGCAGTTGGACATCCTCAAGATCTATGCTACAAAAAACTTATATAAAGTATTTCCTCAACTTACGGATGACCGCCTATTTTCAAGGTTTTCCGTTCAGAGACGCCAAAATTCGATACCGATACTACCACACGAAACAATTACAATAATATTTACTGAGAAACAGAGCCATTTCTATTCCTTCTGTTGTAAGTCAACTTTAACTTTTTTTTTCTTTCTTGCTCGGATTACCAAGGTTTTCGGAATATTAGGGGTACGGATTATCAAGACCGTCCTGTATTGTTCTTGTAAGAACATTTTTTTTTTTGCACCACTTAAATATCATGTTGTATAGTTTCTTTCTTCTTCTTCCTAGGTCATAACCGTTATTAAAATATAAAATTAAAAAAATCAAGCCCTACCCCAAAATTGAATACTGAATCCGCTAAATGAATTCCCTCATTGAATTTTTGCAGTTTATGTGAACACTATCTCACACAGTTAAAACCAGTATTAAGTATTATAGTAATTTTATTTTACTAATATGTTTAACTACTATTAATTCTGTTTTGTTTTTTAACGCAATTCGAATCTTTGAAACAATTATTATTTAATTGTTAATTCGATAATATTAAAGTGGGAAACGCCCTAACAAGCTCGGCCATTATGGCTTCAAGAGACTGCATCGTGCAAATAAGTTATTTTATATGTATAATTATATCATATATTATAATTCGTATGCTCATCGTAAGTCAGTTGTTATTGTAATTTGCATTAAAAATTTGTTAATCTTATGTATCTACTGTCCATTTACAGTTTTTGACCTGTTGTTTAATTCAAGTGCTTTGAATGAACGTGGCGTGCTGTTATTTTAAATAACGTGAAGTGATACAGTTTGGGTCTGGAGTTATTAGTCTGCCTGTCCCTCTGCCAGTTGGTCATGTTTGAGTTGTTTATTGAGCCGGCCGCGTCCTATGTTGCTTGTTTTATGTTTGTGTTTGTGCGAGTAGTATATGTTCCTGCATTCAATCTACAATTTTCTTCTACTTTTTATTTTATTTTTTTATAACGTTTCGTACAATCAAGATACAACCGAGACCTATTCGTGTAAATGAATAACTTACATAACCATATAATACTCCATTAATTTAGTTCTATCTCACATCCATTATTTTTTACTATAACAGTATTGTTTAATTTTTAGAATCGGTTGTGGCTATAACCATTTACCTGCGAATTGGAGGGAGAAGGATATTAGAAATATGCTTGCAAGCATCAACGCATGTTCTTCGAAGTTTTCTTATCTTTTCCCTCAACTCTGGAGAATCTCTCCCTGTACCGATGTGGATGAGCATGTCCCTGAAGAGAGCCAGTTGTGTATTGATCTCCGAAATCAGCTGCGAACAAAAAATAATAATAATAATAAAATAAAATAATTCAAAACTTTAATGATATTAAATTTTACAAGGTAAATATATATGTTACAGTAATTTATTTGACCAGAATTTTATTAAATCCAAACATAATCATGTATGCATGACATTAACTGTATTTTATTGTTGGACTACCAGAAAAACAAAAGTTATTAAGAAATGGGAATATGAAGATATTTAGGTATGTTGTTTCATCACACGTTTTAAATTTTGTTAAATTCTTAACGACTAACGTAGAATCCGCATATTAGACTTTAACGACGATACGGCCAATTATACAAATTACTAACAAGAAAATTTCAACTTCAAATTTGCAACAAATTATTTATCCACAAACTGGGGTGCCCCCCCGTCCCAAAGGTCGATGGCGCATCAACCTCCCCCCCCTTCTTCCAAGGTATTTTATTGCTCTCATCTTAAAAACAGTGGAAGCTAAAGTAGAATTTAAATAATAATATGTCATATATAATGACAATTGCAGAGGTCTGTTCTTTGCTTTCCTCTTGTTCTCTGGTTTGAAACTTTGCATTTCGAAAATTCATAACCCTGTCGAAATGTGCTCCCCTCAAAAGTCTAAAATCTCGTCAAAATATGCCCCTCTCAAATACTGCGCCATGAAACCCTCTTCTGGGCATCCTTGTCTACAAGACAATCCTGAAACCTCTTTGAACTTACGAACCAGAATTTTACTAACATCATACGCATCCAATCCTTTCAGGCCAAAGTCCTTTGAACAATAGCCGATTCTATGTAACCAACAAAACCCTACGCCATCCCATTTGTCCTCGACCTAATACCAGAAAACATCTCCAAATTTCATCTATCTATACACTCCATCTATAATCCTCCAACAAGGTTAAAACGGTAGTGGTCCACAAAAGGATGTATATTTATACATACCTTTTGTAGTATGTATATTTTGGAGTTCTGGCAATGGCCAGATTCTCCACTTAAGTCATGAGTGCATGAGGCTAAAGCGCTCTCGCTCAACCTCAACTAGCTTTAGATAGTTAAGATAGTAGCGCAGGGAACTCCTGGAGCCCTGCTGTTCCCTCTATAGTTGGAGAGACAAGCCTGGATTGGAGTTCTGTCTCCTGCTTGTAAATAATTTATATAGGTATATCTGTGTTTTTTTAATAAATTGTATTTATCTTTAAGTTATTTCATGTTTTATTTATTGTGTATACTTTTTGATAATTATTTAGTTGTTATTTTTCTTCTGTTTATTTTATCTTTTTTGTACATATAGTATAAATGTGAAATTATCTCTCTATAATTATTGTCCAAGTGACAGAATATCATATTAATCAATAAATAAAAAAATCTCAATAATAATTTTTTGAAATTTAAATCAAATCGTGAGGTGAAAAATCATTTATCCTTATTTCATAATGAAGAATATTTTCATTTTTATTTATAGATAACTTGATAATGAGCAAATGGTTCTCGAAACGGAAATGGTTTTAATGATAATTAAATAAATGGATGTGAGGTTTGAAAGGATAATCCTCTAGGATTATACTTAAAAAATAACAAAATGCACACACACACACACACACACACACACATATATATATATCTACTTCTTTTAGTATAATTTAAACTTTGAAATTATAATTAAAAATATATTATAAATTATTGACATAACAAATTAGGATCTTACATTATACATTACCTGCATCGTAAGATAATAAAATCAGGATTTAAAAACTCATGGGAATAAACTCAACAGCTCGGCTCTATGTGAAGAACCAGCATGATTTCGTAATTTGCACGAATGCATGGTACAACGTTGAAATAAATTACGTGATCACATTAACAGAAATGTCGTTTTTGATAACTCTTGAAAAACCTCATTTATTTTATATATGTGAAAACAACCTTATTTCCATTATTAAATGGTCTTTGAACCACTTACCATATTTTCTTCTATATCTTATAATAAATATATAAATCTGTCCCCCTAATCTACCAAATATCTTTTCATTTCACATCAAACTTTTTCATAGATATTCATGAAAACAGAATTGATCGTTTTCACCCACTCATTCTTTTATTTACTTATTTATTTTTTAAAAAAATGGAAGGGTGTATTTTGCTTGAGGTCTACAATTTTATAGCCTACATAACCGCTTGTTAATTAAAACTAGAAAACAGAATTATTTTATTTTTAAGTCCCTCGTCATTTTCATATGAAATATAAACTAATTACGAAAATCCTCAAGCGTTTGCTATTTGTTGTTTTGTTACTGATTGTTGAAACAAATAATTCCTCTTCAAAATTGTAAAAATTTTGTATGCGTTTAATGTAATTACGTATATTTTAATATTGATATATTTGTAGATTTAATAAATAATTTTCATTCGGTATTCAGTAGGGTTGTTCCATGCTCAATGTCAGAGATCCCACCTTTTTTCATTAAGAGTATGTTTTATCCTTTTTCGAGAACGTAAATAAAATATATGTTTTTTTTCTTCTGTTTCTTTACAATTAGGGAATGTGATTCAAAGATCATGTGATGCACATTCTTAAACATGTAATCTCTAAAAATTAAAATGTCATAATTTGTTCAATTTACCAAGTATTTTAATAGTTCATTCTTGATTCAACTAACAAATAGATGTAACCAAATGCTCAGAGGCAAACACATTATTCCATGAATAAATTACTTTGAGCTTTGAAGCCACTTAATTAATGTTCTAAACAAAATTACAAAATTGATCTGTATAAATAACAACTTTACTAATTGGCCCGGTGGCGAAACCGTAAAATAATGGAATTACATATTGAAGTTTTATTACAGCTAATGCTTTAACCAAGCTTATTTATTGATACTAAATTGGCCTCTAGCTCGATCGGCTGAATATTCAAAAGTGGGAGTTAACTTTTATACTTGAATAAAAATTGGTTTTATAACTAGAATAAATTATGCTCCCTTTATAACCTTAAAGAAAATATTTTTCATTTATTAGCACTATGCTCTATTCCGAATGAATTTATCATAAAATATTTGAATAAAAACATAAAGTGAATCGGTGCTTAAAAATGATTTAAGCGGTAAAATCAGAAGAGCGTTCTTGGTTATTGTAAAGAAGCCTGCCACTATAAATATCGATTAATTAATAAAATCCATGTTACATGTATATAGTATAGAATAAATATGTTTGTTTTAACCTTAGAACAATGTTTTCAAAATTTAGTATTTATTATTAAAAGGTTGGCTATAATAAACTAATAAACTTCCATTATAATTTAATGTTCTATTTCAGCTCATCATTGCCGACGTTTTGGGATTTATTCCCATCCTCAGAAGTATTTTTTCATTACAATTTGAATTTCTGAAAATCAAACAATAGCTACCAAGCACAATGTTGAAATTTCATCTAGGCAAAGCTGACCAATTGTTGAGTTATTAATGTGTAGCCCCATGAAATCAGTAAAATATATAGAAAAATCTGGTGCGCGCATCACACGACCTTCACATACCACCCTCTCCTTAGCACAAATAAGTATTTTCAGACAAAGGGGAAGTGAAAGTAAAAATTATTGATGCTATATTTATTTACAATTCGTTGTGTGTAGTTTTATTTGTTTAAATACCCTTCGTTATATGTATAAATTTTAATTTTTATATCGCTGTATTCTATACAGTTAAATATTAAATAATACCAACGTTAGGATATATCAAACACGCATATGTATTTTTACAATCATCATGCATTTCAGGATCCAAAATGTATTGTAAAAATAGCTCTGGAAATGGGAGAAAATCCCAAAACGTCAAAAATGATGAGACGAAATATAATATTAAATTATAATGGAAATTTTTTATTGCCAACCTTTTAATAATTTACTTAAACTTCCCAATTAAAAAGAAAATATTAGTAATTATTATTCATAAGGTTATGTAATTTATTTTTTTCTAAAATGTGTGCTTTTGCAGACTCTCCTCAGACGATTAATACAATGAGGCATGTCTTTAGCTTTTAATTGGTATTCACTATATATTTATAAATTTATTAGAAATATAATGATTAATTTTATAGTTTAGTTTTATTATTACTTTAGGATAAAAGGATTTTCTACCTCGGATGACAATATAAAAGAAAGGGTAGGATCAACAGAAGATGGAGGACTGACTTACGAAAACGGTTATTACTCCGTTCATACCAACTTCGCAAATGGAAGTAAGCGTATCATGCCAATAAAATAGGATAAACTCGCCTCTAGAATATTTGGCATCTAAGAGGAAAAAATCAATTGCTATACGATAGAAAAGATATGTTCTCTTATGATATGTGGGTAACATACGAGAAGTGTACAAGTCTATATATAATCCCTTTTTATTACCGTTACAAAAATTTAACCGTGTGCTCTAGGCACTGAAAGGAAATATTAACAATAAGGAAATCGTGTGTGGAACATCATATTAATTGAGGACCCTTGAGGCAAAGAGTCATAAGCGCATTATGGATATAAATACAAACCTCCAAACAAATATTAACTTGACTTAGTTAATAGTTAAATAAGGAAGTTACGAAACCATTTTAAATTCCAGATACACCTCATCTTCGGTCAGTCGTACACTGGGGCGAGCTAACGCTACGTTTGGACATTGGGTTTGGGAGAAAAAACTAAAGTTACAATTTGGAAGTTTTACTGCATGACAAACTAATATCGTTTTCCCTCCATGTCAAGTAATTTTTAACTTAATTATCGCAATAATAATGCCCTGATGTAAGACAATAAGAGAAGAAATGAAATTTTTCATATTTAGAGCTGGTTTGCTGGTAATACAACAACATATAACGAGTAAATATCGAATAATTATTTTGCAAGAAACACTTATTATTTAACATAAAATACTTGACAAGCAATTGATAAATTAGAACAATAATGTTAATAAATATTTTGTTTATAGAATATTTGATTTAAATAAACCGAATAGGTATAAATTAATATA